TTTGTTCATTTTTCAATGATATCTTAAGTTGAAATGTGCATTGCTAACAGTGGAGCTATCTCAGCTGAGAGGCTGCTTGTTTTCAATGAGTATGGTTTGATGGTCAGCACACTCACCTGCAGTGATTCTGGAGTCACTACACCCTGTGCAAAAGTTTTATATTTCAAATTTGTTTGTAATTATTTACTAGATAATTGTCTACTGTTTGATTTACTAACAATGGGATATTATTATAAATCTGTTTCACAGCCTGACAAGCCATTTGAACTAAAACTTAACATCACAGAGACAGAATTTGTCGTTGTGGAAAACATGGCATGCTGGGACACTAATGCAGTTATTCTTAAGGTATGTGAGTGAACTGCAGTCGTGAAACTAGTGTTCAGGTTGGGAGATGCACCAATTCTGTTAAAGGGACATTCACTCACTTGTATTTCTCATTATTTGTAAAGAATCGATAATTAACCCAATTTTTCAGTAATCTAAAATTACCTCACCTTGTAAGTATACAGCTTCATTCCCTAACCCTTTGAGAGTCAAATTTTATTCCCTCTCAAAATTGGATAAATTTTCAATTTTCAATGAATTCAAATTTAATTTTGGACCAAACAGACAAAATGAAACATTGCTTTTTAGGTTGGTAAAAACAAATTTAATTTTCATCAAAATTTTCTGTGAAAAGAGCAGACGATAAATGAAACTAGGTGCCGGAAGTTGACTTTAAAGCTCAGAGGGTCAGGTGTTAAAACTAATCATGTGGCAGACCTTGTTTTGGCAACTACTAAGGGATTACATTTTAGCTCAATTCAATGTGAATTGTTTTCTTAAGATTGCCATATTTCAGTAAAATATGTATCATTTTTGATAAAAATTGATGTACTTATATCACAATGTTCAGATTTAAATTTTTAGTTGACAAAAAAACATTCTTGATTTCAAAGTGTTCTAATTTGAATACATATGAACTACACCGTTACCATGCAGAGTCAAAAAGTGTACTGCGCCAAATTTTTTTTTTTTTTGGTATTGATTGTAATTGTAGCCACAATACAGCAAGATGTAGATTGTATTGAGCTTTTACCTGACTTAAAAGTAGTTTAGCTTGCTTTTAAACCGGCATATATCTAAATCATGCAGAGTGCTGCCAAAATATGTCTCATATTAATAACATAGGTAAATATACAAAAAAAAAAAGTTGCATCTAATATACGTTTTGCAGTTTTTGCTATATGTACCAAAATATACAATATGCTCATGAATCTCATGAATCATGAGAATGCTCCTGTAATGATGGGCGTGTTACATTTATGATTTTATTTGTACCTTATTTCATTGTAGTCTACTGCTGTATTAAGCTACAAACCATCGGGCAATGACAAACCCATGTCGTGCAGTCTTCAGAGTCTGGAGGTGTTTTCGTGTAGTCTATCCAGCGAAGAAGACACTGCACTATCCATTATCGATCCTGTCACTGTCAGTGTGGAGTTGAACAGTTCACCAACGTATACTAGAACCAGCGGTCTATTGGACGCTACTGTAGACACTGACGTACAGCCAAGTTTAGAGGTATGATTTCATGATTGCCTGTGTGCTCTGGGAGTAATATGATGGTTTTTGACAGCTTCTCATTGGTGTCAAATTACGGTGCATACAGTTCGGCCCCTGCGCAACATGTTAGCATTGTTGAACTCGCATCACTCATTTATCGCATTCGTGTAGCACTTTTATCGCTATCACATTCGGTCTATGCGTTTATTGCATTTGTGTCAGTCATTGATCAAGTTAACTGAATGCTTTCCATTTTATCTGAATTGCATATTTGCAAAAAAACACCATTAGTTGCGATCTAAACTTACTTTTGGAAAACACAACTATCGCTGCCTGACTCAAATGATTGTCCATGCCTGAGTGGTAAGTGATCTACTTAAAAATTAAATTACCAGGGATGAGCCAGTCTATTTGATCCCCAGTATGGTACCCACTGGAAATATACTTGTGCAATGCAGGAACGCATTACTCATATGATATAAAAGAGATAAACGCATGACTGTATGTGACAGGTTGGTGAAGACATAACTGCTCTACCACACCATACTGGATAATATGCTTAATAAATTATTCAAACTCTTAATATACAAAACACACTTTATTAAAACTGTACTGACCTCAAACCTCTAACTATAGCAGTAAACACCGACCTTGATTCTCGAATAGAATAAATCCTGAATAGAATAAATCCTGTATAGAATAAATCCTGTATAGAATAAATCCTGTATAGAATAAATCCTGTATAGAATAAATCCTGTATAGAATAAATCCTGAATAGAATAAATCCTGTATAGAATAAATCCTGAATAGAATAAATCCTGTATAGAATAAATCTTGAATAGAATAAATCCTGTATAGAATAAATCCCAAAATAGAATAAATCCTGTATAGAATAAATCCTGAATAGAATAAATCCTGTATAGAATAAATCCTGTATAGAATAAATCCTGTATAGAATAAATCCTGTATAGAATAAATCCTGTATAGAATAAATCCTGTATAGAATAAATCCTGAATAGAATAAATCCTGTATAGAATAAATCCTGTATAGAATAAATCCTGAATAGAATAAATCCTGTATAGAATAAATCCTGAATAGAATAAATCTTGTATAGAATAAATCCTGAATAGAATAAATCCTGAATAGAATAAATCCTGTATAGAATAAGTCCTGAATAGAATAAATCCTGAATAGAATAAATCCTGTATAGAATAAATCCTGTATAGAATAAATCCTGTATAGAATAAATCCTGAATAGAATAAATCTTGTATAGAATAAATCCTGTATAGAATAAATCCTGTATAGAATAAATTCTGAATAGAATAAATCCTGTATAAAATAAATCCCAAATAGAATAAATCCCAAATAGAATAAATCCCAAATAGAATAAATCCCAAATAGAATAAATCTTGTATAGAATAAATCCTGAATAGAATAAATCCTGTATAGAATAAATCCTGTATAGAATAAATCCTGTATAGAATAAATTCTGAATAGAATAAATCCTGTATAAAATAAATCCCAAATAGAATAAATCCCAAATAGAATAAATCCTGTATAGAATAAATCCTGTATAGAATAAATCCCAAATAAAATAAATCCCGTATAAAATAAATCCCAAATAGAATAAATCCTGTATAGAATAAATCCCAAATAGAATAAATCCCAAATAGAATAAATCCCAAATAGAATAAATCTTGTATAGAATAAATCCTGAATAGAATAAATCCTGAATAGAATAAATCCTGTATAGAATAAATCCTGTATAGAATAAATCCTGTATAGAATAAATCCTGAATAGAATAAATCCTGTATAGAATAAATTCTGAATAGAATAAATCCTGTATAGAATAAATCATGTATAGAATAAATCATGTATAGAATAAATCATGTATAGAATAACCATTTCTTGCATGATCCTGCATTCCTACATGAGATCATGAGTGATGATGGTATTCACCTGATGAGATAAACACATTTGTTTTCTGATATTAGACTGAAAACTACTTTTGAGTCACTTTCACAAATTGTTAGGACATTTAATCTTCAATACATCTTAGTATCATAACAATGGATTTGCTACAGTGCAGCATCACTGTCACTTCCACTTCTGTCAGCTTCAAAAATCTATTATCATATTCCTGTGCAAGTATTTTATTTGATCTGCTTCAACAATTAAGCTCCAAACAGTGGCATAAAAACAGATATCATCAAGAATACATCACACTGGAGTATCTCTGTGCAGTCGACTGAACTATGTTATACTGTATTTATTGTTTTTATTTTCATTTTTGTTCAGCCTACAGGTTCTTTATATTTTAAGGTGAGAATTGGTGTCTCCTTTTTTGAGACCATTATAATTTTTTTTCTTATATAAATTAAATATTAATGGTTCATCAAAAATTTCTTTCAGCCAGAAACGATTGTTTAGGATAAGTACTATCAACACAACAAACCCATTTCCTTGAGTTTTATAAATATTTGTAAATTTCAATGAATTGAATTCAAACAGCCAAACTTCAAGCTCACTGTTTGTTCATCGTCAGCCAATAGAAACCTCCCATTTTAGTTTGAATTGTGAAATTTATAAATATTTAGAATAATCAAGGAAATGGGTTTGTTGTGTTGATAGTATAGAAGAAGTCTATTCATCCTGTATTGGTGACTGCATGGTGATTACGTGCAAAAATGATTCACACGTTTACTTCATCCACAATTAGTTTGTATTAGGTTGGAGTAAGCCCAATCTGATTAAAGTCAGATTTAATTTCTTTTTTTTACATTTTTATTATTTTCAAATATTTGTTTTTTTAAAACCACATCTACTCCCAGATGTTTATGTGATAACTGAGAGTGTACTCAATGGAAGTAGGTGATCTGATGTGTTAAACAGTTTGTACCTACCCGGTACATGTAGTCATTGCCAAGTTTATGCTCAGAACCTCAACCCCAACTTTTGACATTAACACAATTCCTGTTAAAAGTAGTAGGTAACCAGTGACAATTTGCTTAGTTGTAATGTGTACTTTATGTGTAATATGGTTTATGGAAACTGAATGTTGACTTTTTAAGTGCAATTAATGGTAAATCTGTTCATTATAAATTCCTGTTAAAAGTAGTAGGTAACCAGTGACCACTTATTTAGTTGTAATGTGTACTTTATGTGTATTATGGTTTATGGAAACTGAATGTTGACTTTTTAAGTGCAATTAATGGTAAATCTGTTCATTATAGAGGTCGGTGAAAATTTGAAAAATTTGAGTGTCACAAATTAATGAGTAAATAAATGGAACGGGGGAAAATAAAAGTACTAATTAAAAGCTTGTTTCCATGGAAACAATGACTTTGTATTATCTTCATAGAGTTTAACCTTACTCTGGCGGCCATTTTGTATTGAAACTTGGTCAAAATGTATACTACTGAGGCCCATGATTCAAAAAACTAGTTGGGTTACTGAGAGAGAAAAACTTGTCCACATTTGAGTGTGAGATTACTGTTAATGACAATGTCTGGTGAATATTGATGTTTTTTCAGGTACAGATTATGCAAACACTAAATATTCGCGTCTCGTACCACGACATAAAGCTGTTCATGGCGATATTGAATTCACTACCAAAACAAGCAATACAGGCAGTGAGCCAAGATTCATTCCAGAATATATCCTCACCGGAAGATATACAGATCTTAGATGGTAAGATTCAGTTTACTCTCAAGTGTCCATCAGTCAGTTGCATTAATTACTGTCTTATATATTCCGTATACTTGTAGTAGTGTTTGATTCAATAATGCAATTAAGAATGAGCCAACTTATATTTTGTTCTTGTTTGCGTCTTTCGGTTTTGCAGCTTTCTTTTTGTCTTTTAATAACCACTCATCTTTACAAAATTGTCAAAATGTTACCTCCACCCAAAAATTAGTGTTCTTATAGAATTCTTGACATTGTGATATTCAGTGAAAAAAAAAAATACTTTTCTGTTAAAATAGGGAAGCCCCAGAAACCTGATTATTCCCCTGCATGATTTACTTGCAAAGGAATATGCCTGGATTCTCAAATACTCTTTATAAATATTCTTTATACAACGTGTTGTATAATACAGGGTTCAAAGCATTGGAAAAATCCTTTGAAAGTCTTTGGATTTTTTGAGGTCTGGAAAGTTGTCTTTAAATTACAGGAAAAATAAAAAAAATCTTTGAAAAGTCTTTAAATTTCTTCATAGTTATTACGGTAATTCATTTTAGAAAGGCTCGTTTTCTCCAGGGAACTACCATATCCTCAGAACTTTGATGAGCTTTGGTGATGATGTTGGTCTGAATTTAGGGTCAAAATGTCTTAGGGAAAAAAGAAAGTTTGGGAAAAAGCCTGGGAAAGTCTTGGAAATCATTTGGCTCTTGGTGCTATGGACCCTGTAATATGCATCATAAGATTTTTTACCCAGTACTTTCAAATTATTTTCAAAGATGTCATCACAACTCTTCATTCCATACTCTTCATATTTCTATTCTGAATCATTCTCCGACTATAATTATTTATTTGACCTTTTTACAACTACTCTAAAATTGTATTTATGTCTGGACTTCTTGTTTCTTTGATGGATAAATTATGATAATTTATGAACACTGATAAAAATTCACTGATCGCATCCGCCTCACACCATGAAGTGTTTGTTGTTTCAGAGGCGAAGATTTCCAGTTTAGAAGACGTAGGATTTGAGAGAGTTGACTGTATACAGGCTTTAAAAGAGGTGGATGGTCGCATAGACGCAGCTGCTTCCTGGTTGTTGGAAAATGCCATACCAAGGTCTCCTAAACACAGTGATACCCAGACTGAGTCTGAAGACTCTTTGGGACTGTCTGGTGTTGAGGTATGTATCAGTATTTACAACAGAATATACTTGTATCCATACTAAATTTGGAAAATGTTGTTTATGTATGTCATTTATGTATGCCTTTAGTATCAATTGAAATTATTACTCTTTGGTACATGGAGAGCGATGTTATAAAGATAAAGTTTGTAGGGAACAAAACTTTTACCAAACATTTTGCAGAAATTGTTTTACAGCAAAAACCTGAAGAATTTTTCTGCTAAGCCAATGCATATGCTTTCATGAGAATACCGGTACTATCATTCCCTAAAGTGTACACCATTTAATTTTTGCAAAGAACTTTTTCACAGCTACAAAGTGGTTTTCCTAACATAGATGTATTTTATTAAATTAGTCTGAAAGGTGTTTAAATACTAACTACCAGTCATTTTTCTTTCAATTCTGAGGTTGCTTTGAAGGGGTGGGGGTTGGACAAGATTTGTTGGTGTCTGTGTCAAACCTGATAGTTGAAACCAGAACCTACATGTAGGTTGTATCTTTGTTCTCATTTTAGATACGTGCTGGCTACATCTGTATATGCTTAATTGATGACTGTAAGGACTGTGATGTACCATTGGCAGAAATTTCACTTAGTAGTTTGTATTTCTTACAAAAGTTCCATGGTATAAACGATGGTCTATCTGTATTCCGTCTGTCCGGGGATTATTATAATAGATACTTATCAGGATGGGAACCATTCCTTGAACCATGGAAGTAAGTATAATAATTTATAATATGAAACATAGTATTTTGTCTTCTCTTAATCTGAACATTGGCTTTTAATGTTGGTGTGCATGATCTTGTTTCATTTTATCTTTTTACATCAGACTTTCTCGCCAATATTTTTCAGCACTTTTTTCTTATATTCTTCGATATTTCTGGAAATGAAACCTAATTTTAGAGCCAACAGACAAAATTTGAGTCAATTTTCAGTTTTTACTGAAAAAAAATGTGGCTATTTTCCAGAGGCAAGTGCAAACTATAAACTATTTTGTGGACTGGTGGTGAAAGGTTAATATTAATAATTAACTTTTTGTCATTGTTTAATAGTTGTAATATAGCTGTTATACACTGTAAATTGCTTTAATTTTTCAAAGACAAATTTGTGAATTAAGCAAGTCAGTGAAAATCATAAAATTTTGTAGTCACGAACATTACTCTAGATTCCTACGTTATGGGGAGTCAGCGACTTTCACAAAATTTTATCTTCAGGAATGCCATAAAATCAGAAAATCATGATAATGAAAATTGAAAATTTGTAAGTTTACAGTAGTTAAAAGTTTTTATAAAGCATTGTCCTATACATTTTTCGGTACAAACTTAACATTCACAGCAAATGGCATCATTAATTTGTAAATTAGTTGCTTTATGTACATGTAACTATTTTTTTTTTATTTTATTGATAGGTGTAAGTTGGCATGGCAACAGCAACCTGTATCTGGCAGGAGTGCTGGTAGACTGGTGGTTGAAATCAAAGGTAAATAGACAAAACTTGCAGACTGTACAGTAAATAGCAATAGCATTAAAATGAAAGGGTACCTTCATATACAGTATATTAGCAAGATTCAAACTTTTTGAATTTTTTTTCCCGAATGTAGCATTCTGATTGGCCAGCACATGCTGTATAATAGTACGAGGTTATCACAAAAATAACACAAATTATGAATGAATATAATTTGGTGATCTTAATCGACTGACACGTAGAGGAGGTTGAAGTGACTCTGTACTGCCTGAGTGCATACTTTGTGGTATTCTCATTTTTTTTTCTACTTAAAGTAATAAATAATGAGTGATTATGGCCAGAAACATATATTATAAATGTACCAAAATGAGCCAAGTATGGGTGAAAAGTACGAGACGTACTTTTCAGAAAATAGCAAGTACGGGTGATATTTGTAGTGAGTACGGGTGGTATTTGCAGTGAGTACGGGTGGTATTTGTAGTGATTACATGGAGGTAATTTAGCTAGTATGAGTGATAAAATGTAGTGAGTACGGGGTGAGGGTATTGCGGGGTAAAATATACAGGATTTATACAACAATTACGGGTGCAGCAAAAACACTCCATTGAGAAAGAAAATATCAGTGGTACGAACTGAAACTAGTTCAATCTAACGAACCAAAACTAGTTCCATCTTACGAAAAACTAAATGTGGACGTGAAGCAGCCATGTTGAATTAATTATATATTCATGCAGTTTGACCCCTATGACGTAGCAAAATGGACGCCTCGTAAATAAAAGTGCCCGTAACTGACCAGACAAGTCTAATCATGGAACTACAATAATAAATAAATATTCTCTCTTTGTTATCAGCTGATGATCGTTTAGATTTCAACTTAACGAGTTCGTTAATAGAACTGTATCGAAACACTAAGAAGAATTGGACCGAGGATTATTACAACATGGCGAGTTTACCGTCAGATCAGAAGAGAAGACAGCCATTTGTACCATATGCACTGAGGAATCAAACTGGGTGTAAATTAGAATTTGCCACCAAGACTAGTATATCTACTGGGTGAGTGTCGCTTTTATCTACTTGTCCTTGCCACCATATAGGTGAATTTGGGGTTTTCTACTTGCTTTTCTATCATGCATGTGAAAGATGGTTTAATGGGCTTGATCACACTGTGTGGTCTGTGTTAATGCTTGGCAATGAAAATTTGAAACTTGTTTCGCTGTCATTTGGTTGCGATCTTAGATGGGTGTTTAACTCACTACAATTGTGATATCAGCGCATATATTGAATAATCATTGAAATCATAATTATTTATACAATATATTCATTAAATTATTGATTAATTGCAGTATTGTGGCATCAAGTTCTCAAAGTCACCTGCAGTCAGCTGTCACTGTTGATAACCATGGTAAAGTGAGTGAGTGGAAAGAAGTTCAACCTAATGAAGAGTTACCATTTGTCTTTGAAAGCAGAGTTAAGCTGAGACACAGAGTGAGTTCATTTGAAAATTGTTTAATCTAGATGCTTTTCAATAAAACCAAATGTTTTATAACATTTATAATGGTTTGGATGAAGCTAGATCTCATGGAAATCACAAGATTTGAACTCTGGTATTTTTGAGGGTATGAATTGTACAGTTTGTCAGTTTTACATGTGTGTCAATACCTTGTTCTGCCCGATGAAATCACATACTTCTGGAGTGGATCATTTTCGGTATGTCTGTCCTTGCGTCCTTGTCGTCTGCATTCAATCTTGTTAACTTCTTGTCGTTAACATTTAGTGTTTTCATAAGTTGAGGCTGAATCAGATCATTATACGTGTTTGTAGATAGCGAGAATCTTCACCAGTATTTGTCAATAAACTCTGAACGATCCTTGTTTCCATCTACATTCAATCTTGTAAACTTGTTGTTGTTATGGTTACAGAGTACTCATGAGTTAAAGCTGCATCAGATCGTGGTACGAGTTGATGGATGGCAAGAATCTACAGCAGTCTCTGTGGATAAAGTTGGAATAGTCTTCAGACAAATTCAACCAAAACGCAAAACTGCATCCAGTATTGTAAGTGAATCTTAATGAACTTACTTTTTAGCTTGCCCTTAATGATCTGAAAGGAAATTCATATTAGTGCAAAATGTCTGTCATCTGGCGTCCTCGTTGTTGTTGTCCAGTGCATCGACGGAATCATCATAAACTTTTCTTGTGGGCATGATAACTCCAACAATTTTCAGCCAAACGCTATCAAACTAGTATATATGGTCAATTTGTAGGTGTAGTTGACCTATATAGAATTTAAAATACATTTTCCGAAAATTGTATTTTTTTGTGATTTATTATATGAATGTTGGTCATTACAAAAGAGTTTGGTTCCAGTCAACTCTTATAACTGTGCTCGTTCATTGCTACAAGTAAGCAAGAATTACAAATAAGTACTAAGTCTTATTATACCATATATAATTTTTTTAGTCGCATATGCATTTATGTAAATGACAGAGGTATAGGTATGTCAGTGATTCAAATTATATGTTATACAATGAGTGTTTTTTTTTATCATAGTATTGTGATCTGCCACCTGCACGGGTCGTATTTGATGTAACACTGGAAGGTAGTGCACGTAAAGTTGTAACTGTGAGGTCTTCACTCATGATAATAAGTCGTGTTCATGTTCCAATGGAATTAAAGATGATACACCCTTCTAACAATGCATCAGCAGGTGAGTCTTCAAACCACTTATAGATGACATATTGTCTGAGTATAAACACACTAGATTATAGCAAAGTATGCTTGAAAGCAATCTGGTTGTCATGGTAACTGGTGCAAATGATGCAGTTCTGTACTGTCTAGGCCATTCATCTATTAATTACAACCGTTCATACACAATTCTTCCACCTTTTATCAACCATTCACTATGATTCACTACCATTCATTTACCACACAACCTTCATTCACCGACATTCGTCTACCATTTATCTACCATTGAGCCATTCACTATTATTCACTACCATTCTTCAACCATTTATCTACTATTCATCTACCATACACTACCATTCATAAACCATTCACTGACATTTTTTTACCATTTATCTACCATTCTGCCATTCACTATTATTCACTACCATTCTGTGGTGGATAAGTTTATATCGCAAAACTAGGCGTTGGGGTGTTCTTTTCGTCACATAAAACGAACTGACTAATCATGCGGAATTGTTATTGAAATGGACATCGATTGCGTTGTGTTTTCTTGAGTTGAACAGACGTGAGGTATAATTCAAACTGGTTTATTTGTACTCAACATGAACATCAATACGTTGTACAGCAAATACTTCTTGGTATAAAATATAGATCGCTAAATAATAGCTTCATGAGGAGTTGGCATCGTAGAGAGCATAGAAAGGAGGGTGTGCATAACGAGCATCAAGTTGCGAAGCTACCAT